TAAAAAAAAGCTAATCTCAAATTCATTTATTAGTTTTAATAGAAATTAGTTAATAGATACTCTACTATAATTATTAATGTATGTTTTTCGAAGATTCTTTTTTAGTTTATAATTATCGAGTGTCTTCATATTTACAGGAATTTCATTATATGATTTAATTGCCTTATAGATTGATGTTGATGTTCCAAATTTTTTTGTGTTCTTTTTGGCGAGATGAATCTGTTGTTTGCTTCTTGTATTGATTTATTGATTTTATGATGATTACTTCTTGTCGTAAGTTGAGTGGTAGAATGTAATTCGCCATTAGAGATATCGTGAATATACAAGATCAGTTTGTATTTAATAAAATCTTGTACCAATAATATCCTATTCTGGCTATGAATAAATTCGGTATGCTCAAGCCTATTATAGAAAAACAAGTTCTTTAACGCTTTGTTTTGAATGACTTGAAGCTTGTCACTGTTTTCTTTGTAGAAAACACCCCATAGTATTATAGCATAGCTCACGTGACTGTGGAAAAGAGAATAAAAGACGGACGTCTTCACGTTGTTTGGCAAAAAGTATGCAATTTTGAAGACACCAGCAACGGACGACAGTTTTTTAAATAAAAATGTTGTATGTGTTTTCCAGTTGAGTGCCGAATCAATCCATAGACCAAGTTATTTAAAGTTTTCCACTTGTTCTAAAATTTCATCAGAAATAACGATTTTTAATGGTGGGGCAGTGGGACTGATAATCATATATTTCGTTTTCTTTATATTGAGTGTCAATTTATGATTTTGTATCCTAACTACTAACTTTGCTAGGTTTTCGTTGATTTTCTTTTCTAAGCTGTAATAATTGATATCATTAAACACCAAACATACGTCATCAGCGAAAAGGAATATTTCTGCATTTATGCCAACTTGATCTATTCCCTCCATATAAACTGAAAACAATAAAGGCCCTAGAACACTACCCTGCGGTACTCCATAGGAAATTGACTCATTCTGGCCGTTGACTATTTTCTCCATAACTATAGACAGTACCGGTGCAATACAAATTGGTCTATAGTTGTTTAGATCATCCTTATTGCAAGACTTAAAAATGGGGACCACTCTGAAAATTTTTAGCAAATCTGGAAAAACACCCTGAACAGAAGATTTATTAATAATATTACAAATTGGGTTACATAGTGCTTCATTACATGCTTTCAACATATTTGTGGACATATTTAAAGAATCGACTGGGTTTGAGTTGTTTAGTGATTTAATAGTGTTGAATACTTGACTTTCTGTAATTAGTTGAAATTCATATGTGTTTCTTGTTTTTGACGGTGTATAATATAGTTTGTCAAAGTATTTTTTTGCTAATATTTTGCCCATATTGGCGAAGTGTCTGTTGAGCTCGTTGATTTTTTTAACAGCCTGTGAATCAGTTAAGCCTTTTAACAAATCAACATTATTCTTTTGCCTGTTATTACCATAAAGAATTTCATTAATACAGTCCCATGTCTTTGACGAGGGGTGCTGATTTAATGTAAACTTGTTTATATAAAAATTATATCTTTTGTTTCTTTTTAAGCTTGTAAATCTGTTTCTGAAATATTTATACTGTCTTTCAAGGTTAGTGTTCGTTTTATCTTTAATCCATTTAGAGTACCAACACTGCTTAGTTTCCAATGCTATCATTAATTCGCTGTCAAACCAAAGCTTTTCATTTTTTGATTTCATCGACTTCAGCCATGACGCTTTTACAACTATACATTTGATCTCAACAACAAAATCAGTTAATACAACGTCACAACTTCTAACATTATCAAAAATAATAGGATTTCTTAGTAGTGAATTATATACAGCTTTATTATTGATTATCGTAATTTTATTTTCGTTATTTATAGGGCTCACTAAACTTGTAAGAATTTTATGTTCAAGTATTTCTACCAGCATAACATTATGATCCAATAAATCAATTTCAGTATGTGAGATCTCAATTTTATCAGTCAAGTTATTTGTAAATATATGGTCAATACAAGTTTGACTAATATTTCTAGTAACAAAACGGGCATTACAACAATAAAAATAATTCATAGTCATAAAATTAACATATCGTTCCGTTCTGTTGTCATTAATTAATAAATTAATGTTAAAGTCGCCAAAAATATACGTTGATATTTTACAATTGGTATTTATAATAGATTTTTCCAATGTGATCAAAAACTGATCAAGATTGGACGTTGGTGATCTATAAATGTTCATAACATTGAACAAACTATTATTTTTTACAATATTGACACTCAAGAAACTGTCATTATTGTCACTGAAAGGAAATGTTGAATGACAGCCATATTTTTTGTTTACAAATATTCCGCAGCCGCCGCCGTGTTTATTCCGACGAAAACAACAAAAAGTTTTAAAATTTAAAAAGTTAAAATATTTAGTTTCTGATTCCTTTAACCATGTTTCGGTAACACATATTACATCAATCGTGTTATTAAATTGTTTTAAGATAATTTCAAATTCGTCAATTTTGTTTTTAATGCTACGTGCATTGAAGTATAAATTTTTTCATTATTGATATTAAGTGCAACTTCATGTATAGTGTTAAATTATTTATTACATGGGTTAACGACGAAAGGATTAAAGTTATTGTAATTCATCAAGTTGTGAAGTGTCTTTTAAGTGAATAATTTTGCTATTAACCTCCTTTCAAATCAACACCTTCCCGTCATTAACCCATGCAAAAGCAATTTTTTTTTCACGTTTTAAGTCTCTTGCTTTTTTATATAAAAAATTAAAATATTTGGTCAAACACTCATTCATACATATTGGTTGTTGTATCATATGTATATATTGGTTGTTTAGAATTATCATTCAATATATCACCAGAATTTAAGTATTTTTTTATCTGTTCTTTAGCTTTAGCTATTAAAGAAAATTTGGAATTTTTTTGCATGAAGTCTATTATAATCGGTGGTGGAATATGTGATTTGTTTACTTTTACATTTGTATTCCGGTAAATTTCTTTAATAGAATGGGTTTTTGGATCCATATTGAAGTTTTTAAGAATATTTATAGCAATATTATCTAAATTTTCATCATTATTGGTGGGGGCACCACTAATTTGAATTGAGTTTTTTAATTTTGTTTGACTATTAGTATTTATTTTTCTTTCCATAAAATAAATTTTTGATTTAAGAATTTGTAACTCATTACTTAAATTAACATTTTCTTTTATTAAATCTTCAGTTATACACTTATAGTCATTAATAGCTATTTTTAAAGATTTTATTTCATTTTCGAAAGTTTCATTTTTTACAATTAAATAATCAATTTTATCATTTAATGTTTTTATGTTGCACTTTTCATCATCTTTTAAAGTTAAACCTGAATTTCTATTAAATGTTTGTAAATTAGAGTTATCTAAGTTACTTGAAGATAGTAGTATTGTACTTCTTCTACTATCGCAGTTTGTTAAACTATTACCACTTAATTTTAAATTTTTTTTGCACTTAGTACAGGACGTGGTTTTACTATTTTCCGCCATGTTGAAAACTTTGAATTTTGAAAATACAGATTTAGTAAGCACAATTAATACAACTTTACATTTGACATTGAAAATTACATAACTGTCAACGAAGTAGTTCATCATATTAAAAATCTGAAAAATGTAAAATCTCCTGACGTTGACGACATCCCTTCAATATATATTAAAAAATTGCCTAGAAGGGCTACAATAGTCTATACTACAATTCTCGATAATTACATAAGTCTGGGATACATTCCTACTAGTTGGAAAGTTGCAAAAATCATTGCCACAGGTTAGTCAAATAAGCCATCTGATGATCCACAATCAGATAGGCCAATCAGTTTGCTTAATATTTTCAGCAAAATACTGGAAAGAATAATCAAAATCAGATTAACAAACTTTCTTGATTCAAACGGTGTACTCCCAAATGGACAGTTCGGATTTCATACAAAAATTTTTACAGTTCAATCACTATTAAGAGTAAAAAAGTATGTTAAAAATCATCTTGAAAGTAAAAAATACGTAGGTTGGACATTGAGTCTGCATTTGACACGGTTTAGCATAACGCATTACTATACAAACTAAAAACTAATAAAATCTACGATGATTATTTAATTAAAATTTTACAAAGTTTCATAAAAGAGAGAAATTTTAGAGTTCAAAATGTTGCTGTACGAATAGAGTCTTATACAAAATTTCGATGTTGGTGTACTTTACTGTCCTCCGAGACGTGTTATAAAGAGTGGCTCATTTAAAGATCTCCTGCGTCTCCTTAAAGAAAGGTTTATTCTGGGAGGTGACTATAATGCTAAACATATTGATTGGGGTTCTAAATTGATCTCAACAAGAGGTAGAGAGCTAAGAAAAGCTATTAAAAAGATTGTCACTACCAATCCACTGGTAGACCAACATATTGGCAAAGTGATAGAAATAAGATATCAGATCTGCTAGACTTCTTTATTGTCAAGAAAATCTCACCAAATTTCATTAGTTTGGAAGATAACTATGATTTGGATTCGAATCATTCTGCAGTTATATTTAACTTATCTGAGACAGTTACCAAGAAACAAAATAAGCCCATGTTGATTAATAAATCCACTAACTGGACTAGTTTTGAAAAAGAGATAGGAAATATAATAAACTTAAGAGTTAAAGAACGAACCTAAGATGATTTGGATTCTGAGGTGGAGAATTTTAATAAATCATACAAAGCACAGTTTGAAATAATACAAAACAATATGAGTATAAATCCGTGGGTATGACTTGCCCAAGAGAAATACTGAATATGATAAGCGAAAAGAGATGAACTAGACGCAGATGGCAAAACTCACGAGACCTGGCAGATAAAACTGAACTCAAAGAAGATTCATTTGATAATTACATTAAAACTTTGTCAGCCGAACAAGAAAGTAATCATTCATTATGGAGTGCTGGAAACCAATTTTACATGTTTTACATTATTAGGGTAACGGAGGGCAAATAGGCAATAGAAGATAAGGATAAGGCTGAAATATTTGCAGATCATCTTGAACAAATTTTTAGCGCAAATGACATACACTCAAACATAAATATTTCATTGGGAAATGTGAGAGCAGAAAAAGTTATCGCTCCATTTGCACAAAGAGAAATAGTGGAAGAAATAATAAAAAGGGTTAAACCAATGGTTTGTATTGTTTTCCTTCAACAATTTTTAGTTCAACAATTGAAAATGTTGCTTTTAAATACAGTCTATATACGAGTATACCTATCACACTACTAGAATTATTTTCATTTATATACGAAACTATTTCTAGGATTGCACATATTTAGGATGAACGGTTTATTCAGTGTTTGAAATAAAGAAAAAATAAATTTAAAGAAGGGTTAACATAATGCTCGATTGTAACAGTTAAGAAAAATAATTATGTTTTTTAATGGCATGAAATTTAGCATTAGCTTTCAGCGTTTATAGAAATTTGAAAGACCTTATGGTTTCGGATATAAAGGATGCCAAATATTCAAATTTTACATACTTCGAGAGCTGATAACTTGAGAGGGGGTGAAGATGGGGAAAAATTTTATTCCAATAAAATAAACTATTTATGAATATCTAAGAGCTTCAGACTCCTGCAACGTATACGGTGTAGAAGAAAAACCGTATCAAAAATTTGGGAAAAGCGGGTTTTAGATAACGACAAATTTTAACGGCCATTTTGTTTTTTTTTGAGTTCAAAAATGGTATACCGGAGTAGAAGAAGTCAGCCACTATTTTTCTGCTTTTACAAAATTTGAAAAATGCTTATTGTTTCACTGCAATAAGTGATTAAAATATACCATTAGGTTAACTTAATGGAAATTTCTTCATGCAACTGCAAAACAGATGGATGACGTAATCAAAGGAACGAGTTAAAGGCAGAAAAATTAATTAAAAAATTTTTCTCCTCGAACTGGACTCGAACCAGTGACCTACCGCTTTCTAGGCGGACGCTCTACCAACTGAGCTACGGAGGCATGAAGAAATTGCCGAGGTCACTGGTTCGAGTCCAGTTCGAGGAGAAAAATTTTTTAATTAATTTTTCTGCCTTTAACTCGTTCCTTTGATTACTTCACCATCTGTTCTGCAGTTGCATGAAGAAATTTCCATTAAGTTATAAATATAAAGAGAGATAAAATTTGATGGTTGGTCTAAGGGACTAGTATCTGAATGTAAGAAGGAGGTTTTTGTGGTAAAACACATAACTAATTATGGGTTGCCAGGGAATGGTATGTTAGTAGCATTCATGCTTTCCTCCTTCCTTCGATGAAAACAAAAAATATTTTTGTAGACTATTTTTATACCCGTATGTTCGAAGTAACGCTAAAAAATAATGTTTCGAAATATAGACTCAATCTTTGATCAACTACAAAAGTTATTTGGCAATATCTCAGAAACTGTTAAAGCTGGGTGTTATTGAAATTTTGGCTCAAGCGAATATATGTAGGGCCGATATTTTACAAGTGAAGGGCTCTTTTTGGTAGCAGCCATAAGACTTCAATAGTAGTTTGGCGATATCTTAGAAAATATTGAAAACACAGTAATGAAATTTTGTATAAACTAATATGGTAATGCGGCAGCTTAAAGTCATAGTCTGTCCCATAGTCACCTATGGCATATTTATCCGCACATAGGATAAAAAATTCGTATGGATATCACAGAGTTGACAAGATCAACTCTTTTTTTTCTCGTTTGAAATAATGTTTGTTTTTATTATTCTATTAAAATTTTCGATATTATTAGTTTATTTTGTTTCGTGAATATGAACGATATCATTCCAGATCATTGCCAGATCATTCTACTATCAATTATATAGGTTTGATCGCGGTTTAGCAAAAGGAGGTGGAGTAGCTATAATTATTTCACAACACTTAGATCGTTGAAACCTATTGAGTCATTAAAATTCATATATTTGAAATGTTGTTCATAATGTTGAAATTCGTAGTTCGCTGAAACCTCTTGAAACTAAATACATTGTTGTTTTAGAAATAATTACCTTGAAGAACAGTACTCCTTTAAAAATTGTGTCGGTTTAATTTCCAGGAAATAGCCCTAAATAAGGAAACTAAAACACCTTCTCAAATCCGAAATCATAAAGTTTTCCAGAATAAACGGAAACTATTTGGTTAAGGGAGATCTTAACGCCAGAAATAGATTTTGGGGATGTAATTGAGCCAATGGCTGTGAAAATATTTTGATCGATCTAATTGCAAAACATAATAACTTTTCTATTCTTTTTTCACCTGGACCTACATATGTTCCATTTAGTGATATTAATATGCCATCTGTAATTGACCTGTCTCTTATAAATAATACTGGGATGTTTACGCAGCCGGTAACCTTAAATAATTCACGATTCCTTGATAAATTCTTTTGAGGTTGACAATTAATTATGCAATTTTGTTAATATTATAAAGGATGCAATTGAAATATCTGTACCTACGAAACAAATTAATTCTTTCAATAAACCTTTTCCTACATCTATATTAACTCTAATTAATAAAAGAAATGATATTAGAAAAAATTTAAATTCAGACAGATAATATTCAAAGCTCAGCGAAAACACATCAATGGCTTAGTTAAAAATAAGATTTTGGAATACAGAAGTGTGCAATATGAAGTTATTTGTGCAATACGATATGTATTTGTGCCCAAGGACTTTAAATACTTTAAGTCCTTGGGCACAAATAGCAAATCAAATGTGCAAAATTATTAAAAATAAAAATATTCCTGTTTTGAAAGTAAATTATTATAAATATATTACAGTCAATGGAAAAGCCAAAATCTTAGCGGAAGGCTTTCATTCTAAACATAATAAAACTTTGAATTTTGAAAATACAGATTTAGTAAGCACAATTAATACAACTTTACGTTTGACATTGAAAATTACATAACTTTCAACGAAGTAGTTCATCATATTAAAAATCTGAAAAATGTAAAATCACCTGACGTTGACGACATCCCTTCAATATATATTAAAAAATTGCCTAGAAGGGCTACAATAGTATATACTACAATTCTCGATAACAACTTAAGTCTGGGATACATTCCTGCTAGTTGGAAAGATGATCCACAATCAGATAGGCTAATCAGTTTGCTTAATATTTTCAGCAAAATACTGGAAAGAATAATCAAAATCAGATTAACAAACTTTCTTGATTCAAACGGTGTACTCCCAAATGGACAGTTCGGATTTCATACAAAAATTTTTACAGTTCACCCACTATTAAGAGTAAAAAAGTATGTTAAAAATCATCTTGAAATTAAAAAATCCGTAGGTTGTTATTAAATTTTGTTTCCTAAGAAATTTGAACTTTAAACTATGGCTAAAATAACTCGCACTTTGTGTGTTATAATGAAATAATATAAACCAAATTCTTTTACATTGCAATGTTCGTTCAGTATTTCGCTTGTAATGCAAAATTCTGTTATATTGCATCGCCTCAGAATTAGAGTACTGTGCAATACAAAAACAAAAATAAATACCTTTGAATGCAGTCTTCCCTAAAGTTTATGCTCTATCTAATGGCGTAATCAAATTTTTCAGAATAGAAAAGTTAAAAAGCATTCTTTAATTCATGTCTTATGCATCTTAGTATTAACTGATTGGACACCACAAACTATGCAAATCAAACTGTGGACAAACTATAACTAAGACATAGTTTTAAATTTCTACAATTATTTTGGAGGTTAAATTATTGATTTCCTTACATAATAGGAATCTGGTGGGAAACTCTTTTTCCGATTAATACTGGAAGATTTGTTAGCCTTTATTTATGAATATTAAAATTTTTTAAACCAGTTAGCATGTAATACTGCGTCATATAGTTCATGCGTTAAATACTTTAATTGAAATACTTATCACAATTCACAGAGTTGACATTCAATGAGGGAATACGGAGACGGTAAGAAAGAATTACCTTTATTTTATTTTACTTTTATACTGAAAGTTAAATTTGAGGTTTATTTGTACTTGAATGAATAATATGTTTTGTAGTTATTTAATTCTTCTTTCTGCAGAGAAAATAAAAATCCGTAACTTTAAACGTTTTTGTGCCGCAAAACACAATCTTTAGGTATTTTGGAGACAAAAGTCGTTGAGTTATTTATCACTTACATATTATTGTGTTACAGATCATAGATTACAGAAACCAATAAAGTTATTTAGGTAACTAATAAAACCTATAGCTGAGGAGGCAGAGTTTGTTAAATAAACTTACATTAAAGTTCAGAATAATGGAACATTCTAATATGGAGTTCAAATTTATATTTGGATTACATGTCGGTATACAGCCATGAAAAAATGCCGTCGATTTTACTGACAATTAACTGACTTAACTCCATTCGAAAGTTTAGATTTATAGTGTAAAAATTGATATCATATTGTTTTAAGGAAAATTAAGCTACCTTAAACCTTTGCCCATGAAGTGTTATTTGATACCTTACGTTATTTTTGTAGTGAGTAATTATGAGACCTACAAAATGTGCAATACAAAATTTTTCTTCATATTTTACTTTTTGTTGGATACCCCTAATTAAACATCAAGGAAAAATTAAAAAAACTGGTTTTTATTTCGGCATTTTATTTTGAATTAAAATTTTTCATTCTTTAAAACTCTACATTTTACATAAAGCACCGATTTAAAATTTCAAAATTATTCTAATGTATATAGATTTCATTTGACGTACGTGTATGGGTTTACGCATAAAAATGGTGTATACGGCTAAATTATTCTGGACAAAACCTTAAATAACTTTGACACCCTGCGGTTGAGCCTAACGAAATTGGTATCAAAAGAAAGCTAACAAAACCTTTTATGAATCTGAAATATAAAAATTATCGGTTTTTCACCTCAGTTTTGAAATATCCCGATGTAAACTTCAATTGCGATTTCTCAAAATTATATTTTTTGAATGTACGATACTCTAATTCTCGAGCGACGTGGTAGAGGATATATGACTTGCATACATATACTTCAATCCTATTAGTTACTTTAGTACTCATTTGTATATATACCAAAATTGTAGCTTTTTTCAGGGCTTTCGATATTTAAATTCTTCGACAAAATCTAGGAATACTTTTTTTGAATCATGTATGCCCTACTTCAGTTTCTACAGGCTCTTAACAAGCAAATAATGATTTCAAAGCCTTGTTCGCATTGGTTATTAAGTAGTATGATTGATCATATTTCTTTGATTGACGACATAATTAGGTTTACTTGTTCATAATTAAATTTTTGGGAATAATTCTAATACAACTTATACAAATGCAGGGATTTCTGTACATAAACCATCAAAAGAAAGAAATATAAAAAATAATTTTATTTAATCATGATCAAAGTTTTCTAAGCACTAGTCTCTAGAAATTCTTAAAGCATTTGCTTTCCAAGTCATTTTATTAAAGTAAAACTTATTATAAATTTCCATTTCGTTTTGTGGAATGATAATGAAAATAAAAATTTTGATATTTTTTTTTATATTTTTTTTGCAATTATTGACAATAGGATTTTGATGAGGTAGCAATATTATGTGCAACAAAACAAGTGGATGAAGTGGGATGGCAACAACTGGATATCACATCAACAGTTCAGGATTGGTACGAAAATGAGCGCAACAGTAAACTACAACTACTAATTGATTGTACAGGATGTGGCGACATTTATAAATTGCATTTATTCAATAATTATTTCGACAAATTTAATTATATCAGGAATCAAGTGAGTTACAGTTACCGTGAAAAAAATGTACTTATTGATAATAAAAAAAAATATAACAAAAATAAAATCAAACTAAAACAAAATTTACAAAACTTAAACTTAATAAAGGATACAAATAAAACCAATAAAAATTTCAATAACAAAAACGATTCAAATTTATTTAGTAAAACATTATACAATAATATTAAAATATTAAAATATCAATCAGAAAGTGAATCCAGTTTAAAAACAACATCGAACAATAAATATAATTATGTGAAAAACAAAAGCTCAGGCAGAAATCAACACACAAATGTAACATCAGTTAATGATAAAAAAAAATTTAAAAATATACAGCCCAATATAATAACTAGCGACGCTAACAAAAATATTAATAATAGTAACAATAATAAAAATAACAAAAAAAATAAAAATAATAATAATAGTAATTATTATAATAATAATAAAAAGAATTATAGTAATTATAATAATAGTAAAAAAAGTAATAATAATAATAATAAAGAAGATAATAATAATAATAATAATAATAATAATAATAATAATAATAATAATAATAATAATAGTAATAATAATAATAATAATAATAATAATAAAAATAATAATAATAGTAATAATGATAAAAATAATAATTATAGTAATAATAATAACAATAATAATAATAATATAAGAAATAAATACATTACCAATGAATATAGGAGTAAACAAAATAACAGTGATAATTTAAGTAAGAAAAAGAAAAAAGCTAAACACTATAATATAAGACGCAATGGCACTAACATTAGAAAACGTGATAATTATGACACTCATAATTATTACAAAATCAGTACACAATATCCCCAATATTTTCATCATCATTATAGAAAATATGGAAAAAATAATATTACTTATATTGTTAACGTAATCAATGATGAAAAGAACAATAATAATGATAATAATAATGGTAATAATAATAGTAATAATAATGATAATGATAACAATAATGATAATAACAATAATAATAATAATAATAATAATAATATTAATAATAACAATAATGTTAACAATAATAATAGTAATAAATATTATTATGACAATAGTAAATTACCGTTATTTGATAAAAACCGACCAATTTTAGTTTTAGAAACTGAATCAAAAAGATCACGTCGCGTGCGCCGTTTGGCTGTTGACTGTTCTGATAATGGCTATATTGATGGTTATAATAGCTGTTGCCGTGAGTCATTTTATGTTAGCTTTAAAGCATTAGGTTGGGATGATTGGATAATAGCTCCACAAGGTTATTTTGCAAATTATTGTCGTGGGGATTGTACGGGCCCACATCGTACACCAGATACCTATGTAACATTTCATACACATTTTATTGAAGAATTTCGTAAAACTAATAGCTTAAATGGTATGACCCCTTGTTGTGCACCAACGAAATTTTCCAGTATGTCATTAATATATTATGGCAATGATGGTATTATCAAACGAGATTTACCAAAAATGGTAGTTGATGAATGTGGATGTCCTTAAAAAACAACACATTTAATAACATCAATGCAAAAAATAAAACAAATGTATATTAAAATGAATGCGATAAACTTAAACAGAAGTGGAAGCAAATTTATGAAATATACAGAGTATAAAAAAGGTATACCTACCTAATTGAAAATAAATACAAGAACTAAAGAATCGAATTCCTTAACATATAAGGTTTGTGTAGATCCATATAATCATAAATAGTATATTTACATATACAAATATATATTATACATTTTTGTATTATTTGTATTTATATTAATAACATATAATTGTACATACATGCATTTTCTTTATTGTACGTACAAAATCACATAGATTATACATATTTTAAAAATTTAGAGCTAAAATAAATATTATACACTATCATGTTCCATATGATATATTTTTTTCTAATTTTTATACTGATATTCTTAACACGTTTGTTATCATTTTCAAAGCTCTATTTCTATGCAGGGTGATTCAGTAAAGAATATAATATTACATATCACTCTTTATGGTATCAAAAGTGCTTAGAATTTTTGTTAGATACTAATTATCAAGTCTCAGCATTTTTCGAGAAACATGGATTTTTATCAATATTCACGAAATTTCTGTTTCCAAAGATTTTTTACTTATAACAACCCTTCCGAAAAGGTTCATACAAACAGTTATTGAAAGGGCTTGTAAAGTGCTTGAAAGCAAGTTATTACTTAATCACATATTTTAAATATTTTCAAAATATCAAGCATTCGAACTTTAGAAAAATTTTAATTTTTCCATTTTTTATTTTTTAGTTTTTTTTTATTTTTTTATTGAAACTTTAAAACTTTTTTACAAAATTTTGATAAGTTTAATTTAAGTCACTAAATGTCAAAAAAAAATTTTATGGTACAAAAAAAAATTCTACGTAAAGATTCCTATGTAAAGGCCCTAAAAAAATTTAGAAACTGAAAAATTGTCACTATTTCTAATTTTTATTGATTTTAGTGCTATAATAAACATTTATTATTATTTTTTGATCACAATGTCATTCTAAAAAACAATTGACATTTTTAAGAACAGTTATTTTGATAAAAAAACTGAATTTTAAGATTTTCTTTAACATAAAATAAGTTTAAGAGAATAATCCCTATCGTTGAACTTTTTGGAATTTTTCTCTCTAAATAAACCCTTATAAATTGCTGCTGGTCGATTTTTATCAAATAAGTAATTCAAGATTGCCGGACTACTCAAAGGACCAACTTTTATCATCTCACTCAATCTTTCTGGCAGCTAATTTCTTGACCCGCAAGCTCCACATATTTAATTCCATCCAGCTTTTTTCGCTCCTGGAATCCTTGAGCGTTTATAGCAAAAAGTTTCAAAAAAATTCAACAATAGGGAGCTAAAAAATTCAACAATAGCTTTTACTATTTATTCATTATACCTAAATTATATTTTGATATTTTAATATTATTTGTTCTTTTTTATTTTTTCCTACTTTTTTCATTATTTAAATTATTTAATATTGTGTACAAAAAATAAGAACAATATTGAAAGTTTCCTTAAAGTACAAAATAATAAACAGTCACATTTTGATGTTTTGAAGCATATGGTATACAAGCGAGTAAACATGGGAAAGTCCACTAGTACTTCCACAACACAAAATCGAATAAGTTTACTTGATGTATATTTAGTTTCTGATTATAATTGGAGTGCATTATTTTGTTTTGTTCTCGATTTTTGAACTTTCATCCACATCTAAATATACATGAAATGAACTAAATCGATTTTAATTGAATCGATAGGAAAAATTAAAAAAAAGGTAAATTTAAAATTAATTAGAGTTCAAACTCAGTCGAGTGGATTAGTCGAATATCATGATTCACTATTAAAATTCTTACTTGAAAATGAATACAACCCTTTTCGCACCAATTAAAAGACCTAAAACCGCTTATGTTTGTATTACCCGAACTAGCTCATTTAAACCGGAACATATTAAGACTGCTTGATATTGGTCTTAAATCAGTACTATTAATCATGGTAAAAATTAAGAAATACCATTATCATACAGTGTATGTAGCCAAAATTACACGTTAATCAAGTCTCAGACTGAAAGAACTTAAGCAATTTAAGTAGGAGCTTTAGACATATTGCGCTGAATTGCCATTTAAATATCACATACTTCTTTGTGGCGAAAATCATTTGTGCCAGAATTGTCACAAAAAACATCGACAAGAACCCAAAATGTGCAAATTGTAACGGCGCGTACAGACCTATAGCAGATGATTGCTCCAAAAAAGAAGACTATATTCAAATACAAATGACGCTAAACAGAAAATAATATAATCTCAAATCTGAATCTACTAAACAAAAATAATTTATAACATGTAATGTAGAACGCTACTTTCCAGCTGTACCTTAACCAAAATAACTAATCCATGACCACAATTGTTATCGAATTACATGTACAGTAAGTCAGAATAAACATACTATAGGGAACAGGTAAGTTCTAAAGGCAACATAAATGACGTTGTTACAACTGGAGCCAAAAACATGTTTATTTTTGATGAAATTACTAAAAAAGTTAACAAAATTATTAATAGTCTTGCAATATAAAAACTAGGAGTGATCAATTAAAAATTAATATTCAAATCACATTAAAATGTATTAGTTAAATGCAACACTATAATAAATGTTATTTACTGTAAATAAATCGGTCTATAAAAAAAACCATTGGAATTCTGTAATTATCTCACCACTAATGTTATCCAGTTAGCTCTTACCAATCAAACTTGTAGAAATCGCAATAACAAACTCCACTATAATACAAATAACAAAATTTATTGAAATAATGGAATTAAAGGGGGTATTGCTATTGAACCCTTAAAAGTATACTTGAAAGTTACATGGATTATTGGAAAATAGGAGAAATGTTACACTAGCAGAGCATATTGGAATTGAATTATTCACCATCAAAGAAATAGTAAAATTTTTTGCGGTTTATTTTCCTGGAGTAAACTCTCCTGGACAAAAACCATAGTGACCTTTCTATATTCAATTTCAGAACAGATATTCAAGACCTTATAAATTTTTTTTGGTTCAAGAATAATTTGCGGAAATCTTAATTCTTGAATGCTTTGAATTATCTTTCTGGAATTGCTCGAGATCAAACCAAAGTGGTCGTTTATTATCTGATTTAATTTCCCACGAAGATGATATCAATATAATTTTTCCAGCTAATTTAATTTAGTTACCTCATAGAAAATGTCAATCTTCTTCAATTGATATTATCAATACGAACTAGTATTCATGTATATCAAAACCCATATCAATTAACTATTTTCATTCTGATCATCTGTGAGCCACTTTTCAATTTAACTTTGAATTTGAAAATTCATTACCACATGTTCTTTTTACCGATCGTATCGTGTATACAATAGGTAGGTTATGTGATGGTAACAAATTTTGCATATCGAGTTTTCAACGGGAATGTACTTCTCCATGGTAGAGAAGTGTAAATAAACTATTTTTCGCAACATTTCGGTCTGTCGGTCTGTGTGTGTACGCGTGTACCTCAAGTTCGGCTGCACCGATTGAAATGAAATTTTATATGTAAGTTTATTTCCACCATGGCACGCATTGATCAACTTTTGGGATATATCAGGCCTCGGGAACTGCACCTTTTAGCGGGCCTGTTTTACATTTTTGAACATTTTGAAGAAGATATTCAACCGATTTACTTAAAATTTCATATACTCGTGCTCGACCGTCCGCGAAACCCCTTTACTTTTGGAAGAAATCAGGTGTAAGCAACTGGGCGTTTACCACGGAACAAATATAAATTATATTTTAACTTAATGGAAATTTCTTCATGCAACTGCAGAACAGATGGATGACGTAATCAAAGGAACGAGTTAAAGGCAGAAAAATTAATTAAAAAATTTTTCTCCTGGAACTGGACTCGAACCAGTGACCTACCGCTTTCTAGGCGGACGCTCTACCAACTGAGCTACGGAGGCATGAAGAAATTGCCGACGAAGAGAAAAATTTTTTAATTAATTTTTCTGCCTTTAACTCGTTCCTTTGATTACGTCATCCATCTGTTCTGCAGTTACATGAAGAAATTTCCATTAAGTTAAATTATTAGTGTAATAAGCACATTCTTATTAATTTCGCAACTATGACGTTGTATAGTAAAATTCATAATATATATTATATATTTTTGCGTATATAAAGAGAAATAATTAACCGATTTCATTGAAATTTAATATTTAAATTCTTCGTACTAAAACAACATATAAATTTTTTGGGAAGATCCGAGCTCGAAAACTGATCTGCTGGCCAATTTTACATTTTTCACCATATCTACGGAACGAAAGAATGGAATTTCTTGAAATTTGATACTTGATTTCTGGTTGTGGCGAGCATTTCAGGGAATTTGGGTAGCACAAAGCGAAACTCTACTAAGAGCCAAATTTACATTTTTCTAGGTATGTTAACTATAAGCTTACTAATGTCCTAAAAATTGGAAAGAAATATTTAACAGACATTTTTATAATATTCTGTAACATCAGATTTTTTTTATCTGTTATAAAAAAATTTAAGAGTTCTATATAATTGAACTGTAACAATAAAAATTGAAAATTATATAGTGTTAGTATGTACGTATGTATAAGAAAAATGAAAATAAATTTTATTTCAATAATAACGGTTCCTTAAAATCTCAACTGCTTTTTCGAATCACATTCTGATAAAAAATTAATAATAGTTTTTAATTACAGTACTTTAAAAAAAATTAATAACAGTGACAATTTTTTGAGTTTCTACATTTTACTAGGGCCTTTAAAATCTTGTCATAGCAATTTTTCTTGTGCTGTAACTTTCGAAAACGTTCGGAAGAAATTGTGGTGATAAAGTAAACTAAAAAAACATACAAAATGGAAAAAATTCAAATATTTTTAAAGTTTGACTGCTTGGTATTCTGAAAGTGTATCAAATACGCAATCAAGTAATAAATTGCTTTCAAGCACTTTACATGCCTTTTCAATAACTGTTTGTATGAACCTTCAGTCTTTTTCGGAAGGGTTGTAATAAAAATCTTTGGAAAGTAGAAATTTCGTTGAAATTTATAAAAATCCATGTGTCTCGGAAAACGTTGAGATTTGACAACTACTAGTGCCTAACATAAATTTTAACAATTTTTTATGCCGTAAATAATGATTTGTAGTATTATACTCTTTACCGAATCACCCTATATATAATATTACAATAAGTTGGTACAATATGTATTACGGAATACAATGGAAAATATGAAAATAAATGCAAAACAATACCTGCTCTCAACTTAAGATTTTAACTTAAGATTTTTGAAATTTTCTTTTATTTAAGTATGTATGTTTATATTTTTATATTAAAAAATTATTTATGTAGAGTTAAGTGAAAAATTAATATTTTAACTGTTGTATAAAATAAAGATGGAGATTTAATGAAAAAATGCGATACAATAAATAAAACATATAGGCCGTTAAAAAAATTAAGTCTATAATTTATATTATTAAAATTCCAAAAGAAATTTGAGATTCATTTTCATTATTGCAATTTAACCAAAACAAGAATAAGTGGAGTTTATCGTGTAAACTCTGTGATACTCGTAGGAATGTTGTTAAATGCTGTATGTAAATAGTCACACTATTTCACACATACTCCCAATGTTTTCCATGTATAGTGCTTTTATATATATTTTTCAGCTATTACATATACTCATACAATCTCAAAGACTTTTATTAAAAGTAATTGCCATATTACCAAGGAATCGCAGCACTGCAATTTTATTAGTCAAGGAATCTGAACTAGCTTCATTAAAAACAAGAGCCCTAATAAAATATTTGCTAGTGCGAATTTCAATACTGTAGGTTTCATAATTTCTGAGATCTAAAATAAATTTGGAAGCTGTATGGCAGCTAGCT